GTTGAACTTGAGCACTCAAAAAAAGGTATTAGAGTGGCTGCTGTGTTCAACCTTAATAAATCAAATTTTTAATTATGTCATGAATCCATTGATGTGTTGCCAATTTAGCATAGAATTCTTTCAGGTTTTGGTTGGTTTAATTAGGGCACTTTTCTCTGTTTTCCCAACACAGCGAAAGACATGCAGCTCGCGACTGCGCATTGAAGGTGCTTGACTACGCGATGTCGGTAGTGGCGCCGGGCGAAGGTAGCGGTGGCGGAGCATTTCTGCTTTCGGAGGGCGAGGCAGCAGCAGCCGCCAACTGCAACAAGTTTGTTGAGGTGCTTGGTCTGCGAACAATCTTTCCTCTCTTCATGCATAGCCCCCAAGCCAAAGGCGCAAAACTAGCTGCGGCAATACGCGAAAAGTCTCTTCCTGGACCCACCTCCACGGAGATGGAGGAGCATATAATTAGGTACGTGGCTTTGGTGTCTGCTGCCTCCCGCGTGCCATTACTTTCACCGCTATCATTCGAAATTATTTGGCTACTCTGTAGCAAATGGAGCGATTTAAAAAGAAAATGGTTCTGTTGTACCTTTTATTAGCTGCCAAGATGACGTTTATAACTATTTCAAAGCTCATTAAGGAATTTCTTGTCCTAAATGAGTTCTCCTTGGATTACTTTTTGAACTATTCTTAAAATAAGTCCTATCTTTGCGTAGAATTGGTAGACGGCGGGGCCGAAATCCTGCAATCGTTTTTCATCCCAATTGGTCCTTGTAGCCCAACTATCTATTACTCCTGTTTGAATGAATTTTCGTTTCTTCGTCCATTAATGCACCACCTTTGTTGACACGCTGGAGTTTGAGAGCAATTTTTTCATTATGTTTGATATTGGCCTGGGAAATTAAAGAAAAATTAGGTGATTTCTTGGGCGCTTTTGTCGACACTGTAAAAGATTTGGTCCCAACTTTAGGTAGTTGCCTGGTTAACATATTGTCTGTCGATATATAAACGCCAAAAGGTTAATCAGATTGGTGATGTTGGTAAGACCAAATTTCTATTTAAGGCAAATTTCCTCCTAATGAGTAATTTTGTCTTTGAATACTCCCCCTTTAGAAGGTTCAAGCTGCGATTTGGGTAGTAGATAGTGATAAATCACGCATGAATTAATGGTAAAGTTTGAACCTACTGAGTAAAGACCATGACCACCTAGATTGGCTCTACTACATGGGTTGGGAAAACTTCAGACGGGGAAGTTCTTTTTAGTGGAAAGATATATCATGTAGTCACATGTTTTGCAGAACATATTTCTGTCAAAAGTCATGGTTTAGTTCTCACTTGGTGGAGCATTGAAGCGCAATTCCAAAGTAAGCGTCCACCACTGAATCTAGTCTTCCCATACCTTGAGCTTCCTAAATGTAATGTCACTCCGTGGACTGAATGAATGTACTCATCTATTTATCAGAGCTCACTGATCCAGTCAACAATTAGAGTAGCAAGTTCAACATCTAATGTGTGCATGCATACCCGATCTCCATTTTTAGTATCGTGGCGGCTCTATTGCGCCAATGCACCGGCGCCTATCTCCATCGCGTATTAGCCAAATTTACAGAAAATGAGCACGAGAAGGTGGATCGACTGGTGGAGCTGCACTTCCAGTACCACGAGCGAGTGAATAAGGCAAACGCCAAAATCGCAACTTTTCGCGAAGTGGGCACTCCATCCCCCTCTTTTTCCTCCCCTTGTCATTTCGTATACTAATCGCATCCTACCTTTCAGCGTCTGTCTAAACGCTCGGATATCAGTAAGGAGGAGGTGGATGAGGTAGTCGCCTTGAAACGCATGGACAGCGGTCTCCTCTCCCTCCAACTGATTGACGTCTCCCTCCTCGATATTGCTGTCAATGGTGCACCCTCTGTAAGTAAAGTGGAATCCATTTTCGCTAACATCGCACAAACTTGTTTCAATTTTGCTAGATGGTTTAAGACTTTATGTACCCTTCTTGGGGCGATAAAGATAGATTCAGCCGCGAAGTTGAAGTAGCAAAACTAACTGCTGTTTATATTTCTTTCATTATAGGTGCTTCTTTAAACAGTGTATCTCCTGTAAAAGATGTGTGAAACGTTAGGAATTCTGCTGCAATTAAATCAATTAGTATCACCAGGGGGATTAAAATCAAAA